TGAACCCTGAACCCTGAACCCGAGTCGTCTTCGCAAGTCTTATCTCCACGAGCTGAGGATCGAACGGCTGATCGGGATCTGCTTTGTGGCTGCATGCGTGCAAGCAGTGCCGATCTTAAAGCGCTGTGTTTTGGGTTCTTGGTTGAGGTAAGCTCTGAAGAGAGTGACGCCTTGGTAAGGCGAGAGAAGCTGTGATGCCAAACTCAATGCCGATGGGTGGGATGAGCTGCTTGCCAAGAAATTGATGGTTTTTTCTGAGCCCTTCTGCCTGTGGCGGGGATCTTAGGTGATCGGTGTGTGCTGGCCTGGCTACAGGCGAACAAGGACACAACTAAACTTGAAATTCGTTGAATGTGTTGCTTTCCAGAGATCAGTTGGGGGGCACTAAGGGGATCGGTCAGGAGTGGATCATCAACTCGCTGCGTGGTGTCTACGTCGAGCATGGCCTGAGCATATTGACCTACCTGCACGAGTCCCGAACTCAGGGCTGGCAAGTGGCCGCTCACGTGGCTGACGGTTTTCATCTACCTGAGGTGCACAGATCTTAGTGGGATCGAATATGCCGGGGAGCTCGTCTTTCAGCTGTTGTTCGAGGAAGAGGGCACTTATCATGCCTTGGTAGTAGGCGGGAAGTTGGGATGCCTCGCGATTAAAACAAGCGGCCCCACAGCGATGATGCTTCGCGAGGCTTGGTGTTCGTGCGTGTGTTGGAGAGCTTCAACCTGACCTATCGGCTCCGGTGGCTGCCACGCACGAAACCAGGCTGAACGGAGAAGAATTCCCTTTTCTGTTTCTAAAGGCCGGTGAGTCGCTGCAATGGCCCAAGGATCTTCCTGGCCAAGTTTAAGCTCATAAACTTCGTTATTGCATATGTCGTGCTGGTCGCAGGCTTCGGTTGCATTCTGTGTTTGACTCGCCTGAAGTCGTAGGGATGCTGCTTCCTAGCCCGCTCACACAGACACATTCGCAGGCTTCGCGCTGCTGATGACGCTTTGCCATTGCAGAAGATGTGAGAGTGACTTCTGTGAGATCATGCACGAGCTTTTTGACCCTTGTCTCCCTTGCAATGCCTCAGGACACTTTACTTCGGGGAGCTGTATCAGCAGTTTCTTGACCTCTTCTGCTCTCCCTCGTTCCGCTCCCTGCAACCGGCACCCTGTGACTCAGGTATTCGACTCTCGACAGGCACGTCTGTGCGGTCCGATATGGCAGGAACGGTCGTCTGTCAAAGTGGAGAGGTCTTTCCACACACTTCTCGTGTACAGCTTCGGCATGACCGAACGTGCCACCTATGGCTCCTCGGCTCGAAACGGCAAGAGCATGAGCAAGAGAGGGAGAAAAAGATGTGGCACAAGGAATGCAGCCATTTATCGAAAGAAGTGGCTCCTTAGCAGCATTGTGGAGCTTCGGAAATCCGGGCGTCCTCAAAAATTCCAGCGTTTCGGGTTCATAATGTAAGGGTTCCCTGTTTTCCGACGCCTTGGGTGTTGCTTCTGAGTCGAAGTCTCGGCTGCAGGCAGCCACTTGTATGCTGCGCTCTTCGTCTTCAGCGTCTTTATGGTCACGATTATCCTGAGACTTGGCGGAGCAGAAGGCTCTGTCTCTCTTGCCTCGCGTTCTCGGGCTGTGGTGTCAGTGCAAGCTGGACTTTTTTGAAGTGTTCCTCTCCGGCCTGGAGATTCAAATCGAACTTGCATGTTCCTTTCGTCTCAGCATTGGCCAGCTCAGGAATATGTTCACCACCATCGTCATCGATGCTTTCGCAGCCGAGGGAGATCCGGAGAAGTTCAGCCGGATGTACCAGGAAAACCGGCGCCGAAGTGTGCTTGGTTCCTTGTGATTACTATGATCTGTATTTTTTGTTGTTATTACTGCTATTGTTGATATTATTGTCATTCATTATTACTATCATTTTTGTTATCATAAACTATGATTGTTGTTATCACTATGATTACGATCAGTAGTGCTATCATCATTACTATCATTATAATTGCTATCATTGTTGTTCTGACCATGAGATCGGGCTCATTTTTGTGGGAGGAGGAGGTGAAGGGCCTCACGCACTCGCTCCTGAGATTCTTTGGGAAAGGCCGGCGCAGGGGAGCCTCTTGTCCTTAGATCCTTTGAACCCTAAAAACCCCTAAACCCCTAACCCTAGGCCCTAAAACCCAAAAGCCGTAAACCCCAAAACCCTAAACCCCTGATCCCCTAAACCCCAAAACCCTAATTCCCTAAACAGTTAGTGATGACCATTTCCATTTTCTAACCATGCACCCCCCCCTAGCCTAGCACCCCGAACCATAGCAACCTATACCTCAACCCTAAACCCACCGAAAGACCCATAGGAAAGACCCACCTGAAGACCCAAAACCAT